CTGAGAGAGAATGGTCTTCATTGTGGAGGCTAGGCGGTTGTCCATTTCCAAAGTAGCCGACGGAGGGCGATACACCACACCCAACAAACATGCGTCCCCACGGTTAAGTTGTAGGCGACACCAAAGCGCATCGACAATCTGAACCTCTGGGTCATCGATGAGATCAATGTGTAATTCGCTGCGATAATAAAGTACTACCCCATCTCCTCTACTTGGTAGAGCGTTGCATAGAATAGACATTCCAGATAGTGCAATTTCTGCATCAGTGCTCGTTTCATTCAGTCAGGTCTCGGTTATCATAATGAGGTCCCTTGACATAGAGGCCTGACGCAGGCGAAGCTCCGTCAGTATGCTTAAAAGACCTTGTGCATTGGTATAAAAACAGGAGAGTGTTTCATAGGTTAGAAGGTTAGTTGTGAATATAGACAACTTGTTGAGACTTGGCCGACCCTCTTGAGGTCGGCTGCTACTAGATTTTTGGAATTGTCTTAGGCTTGCGAGAATGACTTGGAATAACTGCACCGTGTGATTGGGTTCATGATGATCCTGATGGTCACTCATCTCCTGCAGTGCCTCCCCACATGCTATGACGGCAGTCAGATCAGTCTCTGTGGTGGACTCTGCAACAACGGGTGTTCCCACTGAGTTGGTTCTCTCCATGGAGTAACCAGTAGCCTCTGATCGTAAACCTGCTGCTTTAATTCGAATTTCTGTTGGTAGCATGTTCCGGAATTTACCCCAGTTCTCTAGAATTGTCTGTAAAATTAGCTCAGACGGTAAGACCAACTTCAGCAACCTAGGACCACAACCTTTGTAATTTGGTGACACGGGAATCCTGGTCAGAGAGGTAGCAATGATATTTTCTAAAGACAGCGCCTCACGAATGTAGCGCCATTGTTCCAGGTCATGTGCCTAAGCTTCTTCAGGAGATGAAGCTTAAGACTCGGGGACGCCATGAATAGTGACGGTTTTCAGTGCGTGTTTTCTACTTCCTTGATGATTGTTCATATCCTTTAAACTTTCTTTCCACGGAATATCCGGTAAGATACATACTCCGTTCGATGTTCTGTGATGCTGATTTGCAGCGAGCAGAGTGGATTCCGTTTCTTTCGCGGAATGTAGTGTTACTCGAAATAGTCGAGGTTCACCATAGTGTAAGTTGGTTGGGTGTCTTGCGATGCGGCTCAGCGTAGTGGGTTCAGCGTGCATGCTGATGGCACTACAGATGGAATCCTACTGAGTACGATCGTCTATCAGTTTGCCGTTTATTGTGTTGGATTTGGATTCAGGAACGTTAGTGCACACAAGACTTAAGGCACCATGATTCCGCCTTGTGGTTTGCGACTTAACAGCACTAGGTTCTTTTGCTTTTTGTGGATTTGTGAACCGCACTGGCGATAGCGATACATGTTGAGGCACAGTTTGACCTCTCCGATAAGTGGAGTCACACGTGTCTTTGAAGGCGTTTTCCTAGAATCAACCGCTGCGTAGGATGTCCAGTTAATTTTTACTGTGGGCTTGCTGGAGTTTTGTGTGTCGAGTATGTCAACTGAATTACTGGTTATTACACCCTTGGAGGACCTAGAAGCAAGTGGGTTGTAAACGAGTTGTTCACTTAGTGGAGTCATGAGGCTAGGGGCCGTTGGAGACTGAGACGCGATGGTGGGGTTGGGATGCCTGGCCCTCTTCCTCGGCCTAAACGGGGAGTTTGTAGTTGTCCGTTCAGTTTCACGTATAGCGTTGTTTACTTTCACAGCTGCGTTGCGAGCGTTCACCAGTTGCTCAACTGTTTCCGCCAACTTTTCACACTTTTACATCAGGAATATTACACAACTAACTACAGGAATGGATTTGCACACCTGACAGAACCAAAATGCTTCGGTTTTGCTGCTGTATTGTCTAGTTTCGAGTGCACTCATCACTAAATACTTTGAATGGTGCGTTTTTTGTCAGTTAAAGCAAACTGGACCAGACTTAACAGTTTTTACACATAGGTCACAATTGATTTTCGAATGGGTCATATTTACTAGACGCGTGTACTTTGTTATTTTGACTTGCACCAATTCCAAAAGCGATTAGATAGAAAAGGAGAGTTCAGAATCTATGTTGTAGATCTCTCACTTACCACTAGCTTAGAATGGATAATTCTACTGAGTTAATTGGTCGCGGTCAGTAATGGGGCAGCGAAGTGGGAACGACCGCAGATGGTGCTGATATGGTGTAGAGATTCACTACTAACAAGTTGGAATGGATTAACTAAATGTGTACACTACAACAGGGGTAGCAAGAGGATAGAGGGATTGACGCACCGTGTATGACTTCGCTTCAGTTTTCGTTGCGTGGCGATCGGCGCTGGTTTGAGGTCAGGGGATCAGACGTGTGTCGTCCAGATGAGTAGATAAGCGACGTGAGTGCTATTGATCAAGCAGGTAAGTGGATAGGTAGCGATGCAACGTAGGACTGAGGCAAGGCAGAACGACTTGGAAAATACTGTCTATTAACGACAGCGGCTGCACAAAAGGCGGACCAAATTGACAACTATCGCTTTGTACAGCGACTAGAATGAGTGATAGTAAGATGTTCGGGTGACTCCCAAAAATATCTTTAAATAAGACCACCAGTTTTTGTGCGACGAGAGGAAAAATAAATTGTCCGATAAAATTCAAGCACGTTTGACCTCGAAATTGCAAAAGCACAGTTTGCTGTTGATCCGGGAATGACAGATCCAAAAGGTGAACAGTGGTAGGAGGGGCACGTGGAGCCCAATCGAATGATAGTACGTAGGTCACTGTGAGAATAAATCCGAAGATTTCAGGGCGAATAACGCAGGAGGACACGTTTTGCGACCGCACGCGAATGCACTACCGTTTGGTGTCCATGGTGTTGTCCGTACTTCCATACGGCAGCGAAAAATGGACGGTGTACCGGCGAGACGTGAAATATCACGGGCGCTTTCGTCAACAGTGTCTGCGACGGATTCTGCGCATCGGTGGGTGCGACAGAGTTGCAGACACGGTGTTGCGCCGAAGTGGAATGTATGCGGTGGACTGTATTCTTCTGCTGAGACACTTGTGTTGCCTTGGTCGTGTGTGCCATTTGGATTTGAAGCGGATACCGAATCAGCTGTTATATGGTCAGCTTAATGATAAGAAGTGGCATGTGATGCAACCAAAGCCTCGTTGCCCGTACTTGATTAAAGTGGTCCTTTTACGTTCTAATTTTGATTTCAGATGTTGGGAATCGAAGGCGGTTTATCGGCGTGCATGGAGCGACCTGAGCACGGAAGAATTTGCTGAGGTCAACAGAAGGCCTTCGTGCACGCGGAGAAGCGACGACTGTTGATGCGGCATGCGCCGATGGGTTATAGTACATCGACCTCAAGAGCGTGGTGCTGTAGCACATGCAGTCGCGAGTGACTGACTCAGCAAGCCTAGAGAGCCACAAGCGAAGTCACTCGGGACAGCATCGATACAAGGACGGGTCCTGCTGAGAAGGAATACAGAACCAGCGCAGCATAGGTACGTAGCCGCTTTCGATTTACTAACCGCATGATTGCGTGCTGAGTTTCTTTACTTTCGGTGTTGCGTTTGCTATCTTGTCTTAATGCTCACTTGTTTACTTCATTTTAACCTCCAACTGAATAAGCTTCTATTCACTTGCACACATCTCTTAAGCTAATTGTGGTTACCATCGTCAACATATTCGTGCTTGTGTAATTTTTTAAAAATATAATTTAGGACATCTTGAAATTACCGCGGATTTGTTGCTAGTCAGTATATCCCGTATGCTCATTTAGCGTGGGTTATGTCGTCATTTCTGTATGCTTCATTTGATAGAAACTATACGTTTTTATCATTTCAAGTGATTGGCTGTTATTTGACATCCCCTATGTGGCTGGACTTGACATGCATGTTGACAAGGTGCATACCTGTCTTTTACCCCCCATCTCCTCCATACTGGATCCAGGTGACAGTTGGCCGTTAATGGAAGGGGCCGGTTGCACAGTTCTCGTGGCCGTGCTAGGCTCGAACAGTGGTTCCATGCCCTCAGTGTGGAGCGGACTACGGTCCAGCCACCGTCTCGTGTGCAACTGCTTCCCAAATACAGCGTGCTTGTTTTGCCTGTGAAGGAATGTGTGCGGGTTCCGTTGATGAAACGTGCTTCCCATCCACATACCTTCCCGTCTTATTGCTTCGAGTTTACACCGGATATTGGGTGTGTGGTGGAAACTGTGGGTAGTGCAGTGCAAGCCACCCACGCTCCCTCTGTAGGCGCAGGCGTCTTATTGCTGTCTTAAGGAGGCAGCATTGGCGGTCAAATCCGGAAGCGGATGCCGCCAGCCATGTTTTCAGAGATGTTAAGCAATTGAGTACGGAAGATGAATATATGGGCGGGCCGTTTGCAGCATATTTTGGTTGATGTTGACTAGAAATAAATTTTTCGGGTCAGTGTCAATAATGTGTGTTAAGCTTATTTTACCATAACGACAGGCAATGAAATGTTGCAGAGTGCGCCAACCGACAGGGAGGAAACCATACAATTAAACTGGCATATGACTGGAAATGAACCGCATAACAATGAGATTGATTTTTCTAAAACGATATAGATCCGCAAAGTACGCTGACTTTGTCAGTCTAACCGACTTGTCAAAGGGAACGTAGAGCTGTGGACCATATCAAAGCAAAGCAACTGATGTACGCTACTAATTAATTCAATTCGATGTTGACTGTAATTTCTATATATCCACAACTTTATCATTGTTTCCAGCTCGTCGCATTACGAAATTCATACTATGTCTATCGCTAATGACTCATCTTTCGATGGTGAATGGCTAAAGAAGCGGGGGGCGCAGTGGCTGGCTTACTTGCAGTGCACTGTGATTGGGCCATCCATACCAAAATGCTCTTTGGTTTTGTGCACTTGAATCACTACCTCCAGCATGGATTCACATAGCGGTTGGCAAAGTTGTCTGAACCCACTTGAAAATGGCTGGGGTTTGATGCCATTTAGGGTTTTGCCAAATACTGCCTCATGCTCAGATCCAACTGGATGTGCGCCTAGTGCGTTTTCACTGCACGTTAATGTGTACGTCTCTTCCAAATCAACCATTCGATCGGTTGTTTGTGTCGCATCGAACTGACGGATGGTACGAGTGGTCCCATCTCTCGTGTCAGTAAGCCGAAATTCCCGCATCATGTAGGTGACCATGGTGTAGGTGCCGATTGGATCCACCACGAGAAACCCATGTCTAGCGTGCTGGACATTCGGCCAGTACATAGTCTGTAAAATATAAAAGTGTGCACAGTAAAATATTGCGATTAGGTTGTTTTCATTGAATTGCACAGCAAGCGTAGACCGTGTTATCATGCAAAATGGTAAAGGTGATAAAAAGTTCGATTTATTTGATCTGGTGCAGTAGAGGAACACAGTGGTAATGTGGCCCAGGCGGAACTGAATTTATTGTTATTTACGTAAGATCTCTGCCGTGCGCACGTAGCGGAACAAAAGAGCATCGCCGTTTCTTATTTAAGTTCCTTAACTTACGAACAAATAGATGCTCAATCCAACCAATGCGGTCGTTGTCTATGAAAGGTTTCAAGCGCGAGAGATGCTATTCACACACGATTCGGTCTTTAAACAATGGGACTAATTTAGAGCAGTGTTGCATTTGAAAGGATAAGATTAAAGATGACGCCTAATGGTGAGATTCTCGAATGCGTAGATGGATAAAAACATAAGAATGAATTATTCGTCTAGTCAAACTACCCCACCCTCTCTTTGTGGAGTGGAGCCTTTTCTATCTTTCTCGATTTGGTGCACTTAATGGAGATTCGAGAACCACATGTTCTTTCAGTGTCGGGAAAAGCAGTAATTCTTGTTCGTCTGGTATGTAGTAAAGCAATGCCAACGCGAAGCAACTTCTTTGTTTCTGGATCTCTCAATTTTCTGAATGATGATTTGAGTGAATCTTGCAGGGTAGACTATTATCCGGTGTAATAGAATATGTGATGTTATGCTGACAGTAGATACTTTTAGTAGCCGGATTTGGTGGTTTGTTTCGAGGTTTAGTCTATGCAAAAGATTCATTGCAGTCCCGTAAATGACGAACACGTGAATCTGAGGACCACCTACCACGTCCACGACGGGTGGCTCTCCAACCGGTGTTGAGTTTTCTAGCCGCACGATTAAACATGATCCCGTTTCCCAAATCATGCGCCAGAAGTCATCCACCGTGGTGATTAACGGCGTCTGCGTGGCGATATATGCAGCTCTCGAGTGATATCCATCTATGTAACTGGCATTAATGTAATCGGATCCATCCACTCCACGAATTGCCCTTAATAACACGCGATTGGCATCATGCGGGACGAAGTTTTCGTGACGGTTTTTCCGCTGGTTCACCTGAACAAGTTGAAAGAGGTAAAAGATCATGAAACTTTACACCATAGTTCAATACCAATGTTAAGCATGAAAAGTGATGCAGATATATCCAACACCCACATCATACAAAATTCACGAGTAACTAGGGACATCACTGTGGGTGATAAGTGAATACATCTGATGAGAAACTACGATATCTATTGAAGGAAGAACTTCAAAGAGTTCGGAGGCATCTGAGAAATATTCATCTGCTGTTGAGTAGCGGGAACCTACGTAGTTTCACCATGCTCATGCAGATAATCTTTGATTAGAATCAAACTGATCTGTACGTTCTGTGACCGGCTTGCATCACTTAAATTGATGAGCATAGATTACAACAAATGCTACTCGAGTTTACACATTTACTTTAATATTGAACCTTCGCAGTGCTTGCGTTTGTGGAATCTTGTGAATAGCGCTTAAACCGGTAAATTTTAGTTTTGAGGAATACCGATGGGAAAAATGTACAGTGAACACCGATTGAACAATTATTTATCACGGACAAAAATAAGTGCTTTACCAGACAAGTAGGTTGCCAAGAGTTAAAAATACAATAGAAATATGTGAGTCGTTTTGTTAATCGTCTATGGATCAAATGTGTCGCTGAATAACGGTAAGGGAAAATGAGAATTGAATGCGAACATGCATTGCAACCTAGGGGTCACTTATACCTGATGTATTTCGTGAGAAAAACCAGAACAAGGACGCTCACTGGTGTACCGCAGCCTTAGGTTCACGTGAGACATCAATCCGTCATGATGGCATGATTAATGCAGTCAAACCTGTCTAAGACGACAGCTCAGTGGGCCCGACAAAAAGTGCTCACCTTGGACAGGTTCGTGCTTAGGGATAAGATGTGTGGATACTTTTGGCTGGTCGCCATAGACAAGTAGTCGCCATGGCAGATTGGACTGGATAATCCAGGGTAGCGCAGCTTAAGTGACGAAGTGACGGGAGCCAAGGGCAACAGCCGTCTGCGTCCCAGAGCCTGAAATTCATTTCCAAACAAACATTATTCACTGCAGGAGAATTAACGCTGCAACGCTGCAACGCTCTCCTGGAAGGCTTAGCCTATAAGTTAATCTGCTGGTAAAACGCAAAGCAAACGCTGACCACCAACGATATGAAATCTGCTCTGGGTAACTAATCGCAGCAGCTGATCTATTCGAAACACGTATCGGCGGCGATCCTGCTAAACCATTCATCCGGCTCTAGAAGTCTCTGACTGTATTACTTTTGATGACTAACGTGCCATTTGAAAATCGACTGCTTCGATAAATGTTCAGTAGTTAATTTCTACAGGAAAACCAGTACCAGCTAACCACACACACACACACTGTGCACGTAAGCCAGAGGTAAGAAACACCTCAGCCTCTGTTCCACAAATCCTTAAAAAAGTGAATAAACTGCTACAGGTGCAAGTCAGCTGAGCTACCGGTAACGGTTGGGCATCGTTCCGGTAAGCTATCTGCCGGATCCTATACAACAGAAAAAAATATTTTTCTATGCAAAATTATAAAATGCTAAATAATGAGATCGTGATTGGAGGGGGAAGCTAAGAAGGGTGGGGTTGGACAAAGAAACTCACAGCACGAAAGCTACTGACTTCGGCACCTAGCCATATCAGAAAGTGTATCCAGCCAAACGTGTTCAACGTCTTTCGGACACCAACCAGGGAGTCGAGACGCTCCAACTGAGGTCAACTTCGAAGTGAGTGCCTTCATTCCTCTCGACCAAGTCATTGCTTGGCCAGCTCTCCTTGTTTTTATCACCTGACCCATCACCGATCGACACAATTTTACCTCCAAAACATGTCTTCCAACTATTCCTTTCGATCTGACATAAGTTCTTGCATGCACAAAATTCTCCACAACAATCCAACCGACTATCTACTGAAGCAGCTAGCATAGGCTTTCGTACACACTTTTCTAGGCGGAACATTAATGTTCCCAGTGTTGATGGAAACTGTGCCGAGGGTCCCAAAAAGTTCACACAAAGGAGATGTTTTCTAAAAATAAGATAGATGATGGTGTGCTACCGCATAGACCTACAGCAACAGCTGATGGATGACCAGTAGAAAAGAGTTGCAGACTCGAACTGCTGACGTCGGCGACCAATTTACAGCAAGACATGCTTTGTTGCCATCGTTCATCACTTCCGAATTTCACCACAGAATTTGATTACCATCTGATCTTAGCCCCAGGATAACCTCAGGTAGAACCATACACCTATTTTACGTGGCGTTATCTTTCATGATGTTGAAGTTCTAACACTTCAGCATAAAGTTCAGGAGAGACCTCTACAACTTTAATGCATGCGTTCCGTTTTTCAAATCTGTCAATTTCTCATTTGAATAAACTGTCAGCAAACCACTGGTACATTACCAAGTGATTAGGATCGAAGAGCCCATGATCTATATGCTAAGGAATGAAAATTCATTTGTGCCCAGAGATATTCTAATGGCTAGAGTTCACACTGACTAATTAAAATGACATAAAGATTTGAGCATAAAAGGGACGCGTTTGATATCTCACCTAGTTAGTAAGCCACTTAGGAGTTAGGAACGAAGGAGACTACATTAGTCTCCCACCACATGAGTGAGTATTAGGCCGAATATGCAACGAGGCACAGTGGATTATATAAGTACATCTACACCCACATTCACTCATGGAGAAAACCACCTACAATGTTTGGGATAGTGATCGTTATGATATGGCCTGGTTCCAGCTACTTTGGAGGTTCACTGTTCTGCTTACATTCGCGCAGATTTGTTCCACATTCGCATATCTTATTCGGAAGGATGAACCGAGAATAACATCCGTTAATGGAGGAAACGTTTTGCATTCACAGCAACAGCAGTAGACTCGAACCAGCGACATCACTTTGTGGCATATGTTCGCTGCGAAAACAAATATAGCAGCGTTGTTTATCATGAAAATATTGTTCTAATAGCAGGCGTATATTCGTAACTATTAAATCTATATGAGGAGTAGTGCTTGACTTCTCCTCATTCAGATCGGCGATTTGTAGGGCACTTCGTCTTCGGTACTTATTGGCTGAAGGTGAGAAGCACACCTCAAACATTGTGTCGCAATTCAAAAAGATAACATGTAGAGGAACCGAGCTGAATAAAAAATGGAAGAAAAAGGTCCACAATGCTGTACTGGCTGGTAAATAAGTAGGGTTCAAGATTGATTTTGTTATTGGAGGAGGAAAGTAAGCGGGATGTGGAGAGACAAAGAAACTCACAACACACGTCGTTGAGATCGGCTCTTGTAGGGTACTGAAGACACAAACTCTTCTGCGACCGTAATAAGCTCCAGCCTTTGGACATACGATTAGCTGTGAACTTCAGAAACTACCATCAGGCCATCTTGGTTTAGTAGCTATGAAGGAAAAGCGCTTTTGTTACAATCGAGACCCCACAATGAGGAACCACCAAGTATGTTTTGAGTTTGACTACTCGCCCACTCCTACATACACCTAAGGATGTTGAGTGCAGAATGGAAGTTATAAGTTTGCATGCAGTCATTGCATATTAAATTACTAGATTAGGAATATGAAGCCCACTCCTGCAACTTAACCGCATCAATGACCTGGAAGGTGCACCGGATGAAATTGGCCTGTAGTGTATACGACCGAGATTTTTTGTACTATTGGCACAATGCAGCGTGAACAGTCGGCGGCGAAGTTACTCAGCCCTTAGCAATCAGATGAATTTGGAAATTCCGGCACCAATGGCCGTTCCGCAGTTTCTCATTCCCCATTGAAATAGATTTTTCCTGGGGCAGCTAACAAAGTGGAATTTGTTGGTAGTCGGGGTCACATAGTTTGCTTTCTCTAACCGCCTAATCATGTTTTTAATAGCGTAAAATAATAGTGTACATTCACTCTAGTCAAATTCTGGTTAATTATCCTCTAATTAATGCTGGCTATCGCGATGATAGAGTTGGTGATAGATGGTCTGATAACTAGTTTCTAAGTGCTGGGCCTAACTGCAACTATTACAAGTTTAGTCAGTAGAACGCTACCCGAGTTCTAATCCAAAGATCACGATTCAGTGGTGGTGTACATTTCTAGAAAAATGCAAAATGCATTGGTTTACTACGTTACCCCCGCCTTAATTCTCTTAACCCACAGCTCCCTAACTTCACGATGTCGATCACACTGATTATAGAAATCATTTTAGTACTTTTGGTTTATCGTTAAGGTTAGATCTACCATCATATTGCTTGTTAGAGATAAAAGTGGTTAATTGTCGTGGGCAAATCTCTGATCAATGCAAGCACCTGATTTTTAGGCTAAAGAATGATTGACAGCCAGTTTAAGTGCATTTGAATTGCATACCCACCGTATAGAAAATCAGACGACGCAACATCTGGATAAACATTGTAAAACGAGTATGGTGAGCGGAGCCATATCACATCTAGTAACTTATTCAAGATGGTCGTTGCCGTCCCCCGTAGCTCAGTAGTCTCAACTACTGACTGACAACAGTCGAGTTGTAGGTTCGCGCCCTACCCGGGTCTGATGGAATGCGCACTGCTGACGATTCTCGAAAGGATGAAACACCCGTACACTGCATTTCCGGGCGTGTGACGGCTGTCTGAGTAAGTCTAGTTGCGACGAATTTCTATTTTTACAATTCAACTCCCCCTACTACTCCTCTGTAAGTAGTATGCAGACCAAACTGCTTAAAATGCCGTAAGTTAATTGGCGGCTTAAATTTTGTAAGCTAGTCACGTGGTGAGGGGGCTACCCTGTCCTCCGCACGGCAGTAGCGAGTAAGTCAGTGGATAGTGAGCGGCGCTTTATCACATCCATTAACTTATTCAAGATGGTCATAGCCGTCCCCCGTATCTCAGTGGTCTCAAGCACGGACTGGCAGAAGTCGAGTTGTGGGTTCGAGCCCTACCAGTGTCTGATGGAATGCGCACTGCTGACGATTCCCGAAAGGAGGAAACTCGCGTAAAGTGCTTTTTCCGGCGTATAACGGCTGTCTGAGTGAGTCTATATGTGACGAATTTCCACTTTTATCATTCAACTCCCCCTACTGCTCCTCTTTACTCAGTTGCAGACCAAACTGCTTATAATGCCATAAGTTAATTGGCGGCCTATGATTATTAAGTTTGTAGCTTGGTGAAGGGGCTACCCTGTCCTATGCACGACAGTAAAGTGTAAGTCAGTGGATAGTGAGCGGAGCTTTATCACATCTGGTAACTTATTCAAGATGGTCTACTTTTACCATGAAACTCCCCCTAGTACTCCGCTGTAAAACGGGTTTATGTCGGACTTCTTGCTTATTAAACTAGGTGGACTAGCTTCTTCAGGCAATGCAAGAGTGAGTTTAAACTGTCGCAAGAAATATAGCTTGTTCTACTCCGGAAGAGAAAATGACCAATTTGGTGTATATCACTACATAATCCCGCAGGTATTTGAAGTGTTTTTCGCATGTTTTACCTTGGTTGCCACTGGAAAACACAAGTTACTTAGTGGGCATTTAGTGTTACCCGAAATCTTCACATGAGAGAGAGGAGTGATAGAAAACATCTAATAAAATGAAATGAGGAAGGAAATAGCTTCATGACATCGTGCCAACTGCCAACGTTGTGCAATGCAATAAGTTCACTTGGTGTACTGGTGTACTCATGTTTGTTAGCGGATGTTGTGCGAGTGCTTTCGATTCACAGGCTCCGACCAACAAGAGCAGTTATTAGCTTCCAATTAATGGCCGAGTGCTCAATCTACGCAGCTTACCGTACAAACAAGCTGGGACGTGTAGCTTTTAGCGCGAGTGACGTGAGTGTCTAGGACCTAGCAATACCAACTGTTTGGCTTCAAATGTTCGTCATTTGTAAGAAATTCTCCACCTACCAAATTTTAGGAATTCGCATAATTAACCAGCACTTTCAAGAAAATACACACCAACACACGCTAGGAAAACGCGAATACTCAAGTATTACGACAGATCCCTTACTAGCATATTGGCTGCACTCGTTTTCTGGTAGGGTAGGCCGTTGGAGGGAACTCGTGGGGTGTTGAAACTGCCATTCAGAATGCGGCTTTCCTCATGGTCGTTTAGTAAATCGATGGGTGACAACAGGCCGATAGTGGACGGCGGAGACGTGAATTTGGCGAGTTGTATCTGTGAAACAAGCTGCGTGAATTCCAACTCTAGTCCACTCAATGAATCTGCTTCATTCCCAGTCACGTAACTGACTCCATCCAATTTAGTTAGACGAGACCAGTGGGCCGCCAGCTGGCGGACTGTTAGCTCTGTGTTTCCGCTCGAAGCGGCCTCCACCAGCGCATCATATACAAACGCGTATTGATCCTCAGTCTGAACCATGAAGTTTCGCTGAGCGCGCAATCGACTGACTGCCCCATGCACGTCCACCGCCTTTTCCTGTTTCATTTTTTCGAGCAGGATGTCCAGGAGAATGAAAGCGCCTGAGATGGAGTAGGAATGTCAATCCAAATAAGAATGGCGGTGAAGAAATTGGTTATAGGTAAATAGAGTGCGCAGCATTTACCGTAATATCTGGCAAGCGTAAAGTTACACATTGGTTGCCGAAAGTCGCGGGTGTTAGTGGGACTGAATGCACATGAATCAATTCCACATGGCGTCACTTGCCGCTCGCTGCATGAAAACCGGCCGGCAGGTATATGATAGTAACAAAATCGACTTGCCATATGACACAGAATGCACTCGGTAACGTCTACAGTTAAACCTCCGTAGATTGACCACTCATTAGACAGAACCAAAATGGTCAACATACAAATGTCTGCTTTGATTGGGTTCACATGATGTACATTCAAACAAGGAAAGAAAAGTCGACCAACTTAGTGTGGTGGTCCGGATATCTAGAGGTGGTTGACTTCCGATGTTTACTGTACCACATAATATTCGCACTTGCTTTTTCGACACATCTTATGGTAATCACACAAATAGATGCGATTCAGAATTGCTCAGAGACGGTATCGATTGTTTTTGGTCACCCTTGAAACATATGCACTTTCACATCTTAGCGTTTCCTTGGCTAACTCCAATTCCATGGGAGAACACGGAATGGGAAGCTTACCGGTTCGCCCAACACCGGCAGAGCAGTGTACGATGATTGGTCCCGCGTCTGGGGGGCACTCGGCGCGCACCCGCCGTAGAAACATTAAGAGTGGTGCAGGATGGTTTGGAACGCCATGGTCTGGCCATGCGGTGAACTGCAGCTGGCGAACCTCTCGACGCTCCAATGATCTGGTGAAGACAAGGAGCAGGATGAGCCCATGCAAGCATTAAGCAATGGAGGAGCAGCTACTTAGTCATTTGCAAATGAGAACGCTACATATTTTCGAAAACAAATGGTGACTAGTGATTTCAATAGACAGCAGTTAGTATTTGTAAAGCCAAACAAGTAGTATGTTCAGTTAAGCACTCTCGATTAGCTAACTTATACATCCAGCGAAGAATTAGTCACAGGGTGAAGTGTTACTTACCCACTTTTGTGCAACACAAATGTCCGTATTGTGTAGTATGCTAGTTCCATCACATTTAGCACACCCACTGTTATATCTCCATATTTGGCCTCACCCAGTATTCCATCGCCGGATCCAATCCAATGATATGGATCACCTCTATCCACTCCACCAGTGTCGGGCAATTCATGATGTGACATGCTATGTGCGAGCACCATACTGCTGTCCTGGAATCCATTGTGCGTCTTGAAACCATTGAGCTTGCCCGCAGCTGATGATGCGTTGTGTTCTGGCTGGAGATTCGTATGTCTCCTGTTCATCGACTTAGAGCGCGTGAATGGATTAAATGTTGTTGCTGATGTAGTAGTGACCGTCTTCGTCGATGAATTCGTTGGCCAATATTGTTCACATTTCACTCTGGCCCGTTCCTCCAATCGTGTCATTGCTACAATCATTGCAGATCGCTGATCCCATACCATGCGCCAGAAATCCGCAATAGTGTGTGGTAGTGGTCCCTGTGAGTTAAGGGGTAAAATATCAACTTATCCTAATGGAATGCGTCGTTACTTTTATTGCATTTCGATCCTATGCGGGTGGGATCAGAGTAATTATACACAGATTCTGAATACTGAATACTGAATACTGTATTATACTCACTCACCTGTTCCTGTGGAACATCATCATTGTTATACACGTTAACTGCAGGGGCGAAACACCACCGCTATTGTGTCGCAATACAAAAGACAAAAAGAAAAAATAACATAGGCACGCCAGCTGAGTCCTCTGTAACGGACGGACATCAATCGGAGAGTTAACAGCCGGCTACCGTGCCCCAAAAAGAAAGTAATATTATGCCTAACCAGTGAGATCGGGTGGTGGGGGATCTAAAGGGAGAGGATGGACAAAGGAACTCAAACACAAACACCAATGGGGCCGGCTCCTAGCCATATTAATAAGTGTGATCAACCAAACGTGTTCAGCGTCCTTAGGACCCAAGCCAGGCACTCGGGATGAACCAACTAACGCCAACTTCGAAGTGAGGGTTTTCTTTTCTCTCGACCAAGTCATCGCTTGGCCTCCCCTCCTCCTCTTCCCACTACACCCCCGGTGCGCAAACAATGCATGTCGCGGGGGTGTGTGCTGCCATGCGCACCACGTGGTCCAGCCATCGGAACCTGGTGCGTGATATAATGGTGCTGAGCGGTTCACTAGCTCTTGCTGCACCAAATACGCGACGCCGAACACGCTCATTGCTCACGCGGTGCTCCCACCAGACATGTGTTAAATTGCGGAGGCAGCCATCGCTAGCCTCTTTATGTCTGTAGACCTGATGGGCGACGTTTCACAAGCATACAGGAGAGTTGAACGGATGACTGCATTATAAACTCTGCCCTTCAGGACGAGCTTTTGCTATACGGTTCGTAATCTCAGCTTCGATCCCACGGGCGCTAGTATACCTGCCCAGGTGCTTGAATTCCTGAACGACATCTAGCTGATCATCACCAAGGGTTAGCGTACTGGTGGGCCCTTGACAATTTTGCAGAACATTGTATTTCGAGGGAGCCCAAAACCATTGACAGCCAGTGCTAATCGGTCCAGTGCAGTCTGGCACGTTTGGACGCTGTCACATAGCAGGGCAATGTCGTCCGCATACTCCAAGTCAAGAAGTCGCTCACCAGGAAGTAGCTCCACACCTTCTAGGTCATGTCCAGCGAAAGCTGTTTGTATGACTCCATCAATAGCGAAGTTAAAGAGGAAAGGTGACAGCGGGCAACCTTGTCTCACACCGATGGAGATAGTGAAGAGCGGCGACAGTTTGCCATAAATCCTCACTTTGCTTGAAATATGCGTGTACAGTGCTTTGATTATGTTTACATATTTACCGGGCACACCATTTCTCAGCGGGCAGTCCCAAAGGGCACATCGATCCACCGAATCGAAAGTACCTTTGATGTGGAGAAACATGACAACGGTGGGTCGCCAATAGACATGGCGGAGCTCCAACAAATGACGCAAAGTGAAGAGATGGTCGATGCAGCCTTGATTTCGAAGAAACGCGGCTTGCTGTTCACGGATCTGGCCTTCACGAGCGTCAGTCAGTCTGTGGAGAACGACAGAGGCAAGCAGTTTAGAAGCAATGGTGAGCAGACTGATCCCTCTATGATTACCGCATTCTGAACGGGGGCCTCCATTGAAAATTGGGACTATGACGGAGCGGCTCCAATCTGTCGGGACAGTTTCCTGCTCACAAAGTTCCATTAGCAACTCGCGTAAATCATCTACAAGAGCAGGTTCTCCGAATTTGAAGAGCTGGGGGAATTCTATCTACACCAGCGGCCTTATGCAATTTCAACGGTCTGATCTAACGTGCGACTTCTGCGCCTGAGGGCGGATCTAAGGAGATGGGCCATGCAGAAGGGCACTTAATGCCAGAAAGAGAAAGCGATAACTCAGATTGGTTAAAATGCCTTGAAAAGTGTTCGGCCCAACGCTCCAAGCGTTTTGACACGCTGTGGATCGACCGTCCACTCTCGTCGCGTATTGTCGCGCTAACACCAGGTCTCCTGCTGCCTATTTCCTGTATCAGACGGAATAACTTAGGATGATCACCAACAGCAGCGGCTATTTTAATTTCCGATGCAGGATGACCACTAAGCTTCGTGGTCTCTCTTCAGGCTAGCCACGCAGTTTTGCCCTGAGATTTTTGCCAGTCTCATTGTATTGGCTTCCAGCCGGAATATATCGGCGAGCATCCATAAATTCCAGAGACTTTGTAGAGACCCAATGTGTAGGTTGGCAATTTGATTTGCTACATGACAACATGCCCGATGATAGTAACGTTTGACGAACATGCGACCAGTGATCTTCGACGGCGTTCAGTGGACGCTTACTCAGCGTAGTTTGATACGCATTCAGAAAACCTGGCTTCGCGAGTTGACTGGTGTCAATGCGCTCAAAGCGACGTTGCGGACGTCCGCCGAAATGCACCCGCAGATCAGCACACACGAGAGGGTGACCAGAGTCCACACTCCTGCTCCGAATAGAGCAACAGTTTTGGACACAGCCTCACCAGCGGTAACTAATCGCGATGTGATCGATTTGCGTCCATGGCCGGCCCGAGGCTAGTGGGCCCCAGGTCACCCTTCTGCAGGTGCTATATCGAAAGTTAGTGCTCACGAGAAAGAGACGAGTACCTTCACGCAGGTGTAGCAACCGCTCACCATTATCATTACGGGAGCCTACACGACGTTGGCCGCACAGATGAAGCTCATCAGAGGACAATTTTGCGACCAGCGCGTTTAGATCACCAGCGAGTACCACAGTATCCGTGCTCCTTCTGTAACGAAGAAGATCGTTAAGTTGGTGATAGAAAGCATCTTTCACCGAAACATGGCTGCAGTTTGTGGGGGCGTAAGCCGCAACGACAAACGGGAACCGTTTGTCCCCGCGCGACTTCGAAGCCTGGAACGAGTCAGCCAACCTAACGGTACACATCCGTCTGTTGACATAGATCCAGTCGATCAGGGAAGCTTCAGCCCGGGGACTGAAAACAATGCCGACGCCAGCTTGACCTGCATTTGAAGCTGCGTCAACGCCAAACAGGTGCGATGAGAATATGCCGCCAGGGTCGCATATGGGGGATCGTCGAGTAAGCACGGAGCTCGAATCTTGCAGGCTGGTTTCCGATAAACAGCGACTATCGATCATGGGTCTCAAGTGTTCGGGCAAATGCTGCCTGTTGGTCAACCTGTAACAAAGTGCGCACGTTAAGGCATGCCAGTCTTAGCGAGAATCGAAGACTCCAAAAATAACGGAGGAACTGACGTTGTCCGCTTGGTCGAATATGGATTTGTCGACTGGATTGGAGTGACGCCTAGCGATTGTGTGAGAGTTGAAACTAGAAGACAAGTGACTATTCAAGCAAGATGGGGAGGGCCAAGAA